TATCCTTATGTCATGCCAATCAACATAATCCTGCAGGAATCTGCAGGACAAAGAAGTAGAAGAGGGCGAGAGCAATTCTGCCACTGTGTCCTGACAAGCTCTGGCATACATACTCTCTCCAGCACCATCATCCCCCTCCTGCCAGCCTCCTGGAGAGTTTGGGTGCAATGAGAGGACTGAAGCTGATTCACATTCCTGAATAAATATCCAGGGGCTCTAGAACACAGAGCAGTACAGACTAATGGTGTTAAACAGCAGCGGCACTTTAGGGGTAAATTTTAATTTATGTCTTTCATTTTAAGATGATAAAAGACTCTTAAGTCTGTTGAAATGTAGGTTGAACTAATGTTCAATCTAAGTAATTATGGAAAAACATAATGATAACAATTTAACATAAACAATAAGAACAAAACACTTTGTCTGAATAATCTGCACTGTCAGTCGTGAACAAGTGCCAAATTTACTACTTTTGTGAAACCGTATGGTTTGCTTTGGCAGGGCGATTTTCGCTTGCAACATTTGTTCTCCCTAATGGCTACTCAGAAATCACTAATAAGACACAATGATACATAGCACACTTCTCTTGACAGCAGACAAGTCATTTCATTGGGAAATGCTGAAGTTTTTTTAGTAGCACATGAACTAGTTTTACATGATTCCTGAGCTCAAAAGTAATTATTGCTATCTCTGCATTCTCATTGTATTTTGTTTCTATCTTCTCATAATGTTTATATATCACATCATTACTTGTGCTTATGTCTGTCATCACCACTAAATTATGAGTTTCTTGAGAGCAGGATCTAGGTTTTGCTCATATCTGTGCCCTACTCAGGGCCTAACAGAGTTTTGTGAATACTAGATAATGAGTGTTAAATGAACGAACAAACAAACCAATTGCACAAAAAACTACTGGCAACCCTCCAGACTGTCTATAGAATCTGTTGAGGTTGACATTTGTATATTTCTTATCTACAGATCAACAGAAATCAATCCAGGATCTAAAAGTCCTTCAGTATTTCAATCTGTTGTCACAATTTTAGTTTTCATTCTATCCCCCAAACTCCTGTGAAAGAAAAATGTGATTGTTATTTGACTGTTATACCTTCTAAACAGAAAAATTCAGTTATGGAATAAATGGCAAGTTAGTAAAAGATATAATATAAATATTTTACAATTTAAGAATCATAAAGAAGATGTAACAAAATTTGCTCATTCTTATTGCATATGCTTTATTGCATTTTTCTTTTGTTAAATTATAATCTGTGGTCATTCCTTGAGAAAGGATCTGGGGTGGTATTCTTTCAGTCTGAAAGTTTGCATGTCTACAAAATGCTTTTTTTCATCTTCACATTTGAATACAAATTTGGCTAGATTCAGAAAAATACATTTAAAGTACTTTTTGTTTGTTTCCTTAGCACTAGATGTTCTTGTTTTCAGAATTGTTGATGAGGAGTCTGCTCTAAATCAGATTCTTGATTTAGAGAAATTTTTTTTCCTCTCTGGTAACTTTCGTGATTCTTTTCTGTATTTTGTGGCTGTAAAAATTTTCTACAATAGGACTATATAGCTTAGCACTTGGTAGCTTTTCATTCTGAAGTTGCATGTCTTTTTTTTTAGTTCCAGGAAATTCTGAGATATTATTTCTTAACTGTTGGCTCCTCTGCATCATCTCTATTTTCTTCTCACCAACACCTATTCATCAGATATTGGTAAATATAGAGCTAATCTCTATGACACTTTTCTTTTAACCTATCCCTTTATCCTTTTATCTCATATTCTGGAAGAAATCCTTAGCCCTGATCGTCCTAGCTCACCAATTTGCCCCTCGGCTTTTGTATCCTGTTATTGAGCCATCTGTTAAGTTCTTAGCAACAACAGCTTTTTTTTTTTTTCTCATTTCCAAGATTTCCCCTTGATTTTGCTTCATAAAAGTCAACTCTTGTTCTTGTTTCATAGATGTAATACCATATTCTATTTCTCTAAAGATATTAATCACCTTGGGTAATGTTTAGTTCTAAGGCCCTACAGATTACACAATCTTCTTGTTCTTACCCTTCTCAGACTTTTGGTCTCATATTTCTAATTCCAGCCACTCCTGAACCACGGGCTCATCTTTCCTGGACTCTCAGGTATCTCAGCTTGGGCAGCCGGTCTGGGATGAGGGGCTGAAGCAGCTGCTGGTGCTGGAGCTTCTTCTTATTTTTCTTTTTCTTTTTTTTTTTTGAGACGGAGTCTCGCTCTGTCGCCCAGGCTGGAGTGCAGTGGCACGATCTGCGCTCACTACAAGCTCCGCCTCCCGAGTTGACACCATTCTCCTGTTTCAGCCTCCTGAGTATCTGGGACTACAGATGCCCATCACCAGGCCCGGCTAATTTTTTTGTATTTTTAGTAGAGACAGGGTTTCACCATGTTAGCCAGCATGGTCTCGATCTGCTGACCTCGTGATCCGCCTGCCTCGGCCTCCCAAAGTGCTGGGATTACAGGCGTGAGCCACTGCGCCCGACCGTTTCTTCTTATTTTTCGTGAGAATAGGGTATGGATAAATAGAGCTGAAGACAGCAACTGGTCTTCAGAGTTTCTCTGGGCTCTGTCAGCTACCTAGGGCCCTTCCCTGTCTCTCCATCCTCAACACTGCAGAAGAGGAGTGCTCAGGGGTTCACAGGACAAACTGCCCCCACTACAACAGCTCTACCAAATGCTCATTGGCTGTTCCTAGTCCTCTCTTGCTCCAGGGCTCCACACTTCCAGATGTGAAGCCATTATTATGCTGCCCCCATGCCTTCGTCTATCCTTTTCTCTTGCCCATCTCAAGTCCCACCTCTCAGTCCCTCAGGAATTCCTTGAGATCTCTAGACCATCAAGAAGTCTGCTTCCTGTTTTTAGGTATGACGAGAGATCCATGTGTTTATCCCAGTGCTATAATTCTCTAGATTTGGTACAATAGAGGGAACCTGCAGCACACTCAGTCTGACATACTGAAACCACCACATTCAAAATCTTACCCTTAAACTAAGCCTCCTGAAAAACATACAGGATACACAGGAATTCGCAGAAACACTGGTACTGATTTTCTTTTCTTTTTTTGAGATGGAGTTTTCTCCAGGCTGGAGTGCAATGGCGCGATCTTGGGTCACTGTAACCTCTGCCTCCTGGGTCAAGTGATTCTCCTGCCTCAGCCTCCTGAGTAGCTTGGATTACAGGCATGTGCCACCACGCCCAGCTAATTGTGTATTTTTAGTAGAGATGGGGTTTCTCCATGTTGATCAGGTTGGCCTCGAACTCCTGACCTCAGGTGATCCATCCACCTTGGCCTCCCAAAGTGCTGAGATTATAGGTATGAACATTGGTACTGATTGAATATGTTGCTTTTAGACTCAGTTTCCCCCTTCCCCTATTTGACTCTGCATCACAAGAAACTACATGCCTTGACTTTTTTTAGCAACTGGCTTCTGGGTAACTTCAGCCAACAGGAAGCACTGGTGGAAGACTGAAAGGGGGATGTGAGAGAAGCCAAGGATGTCCCTTTGGATGGTGTCTCAACTAGCACCTGTGGCTCTTCAATGGCTGCAGCTGCTGTCAGACAGCAACCAGTATGGTCTAGTTTCTGCCTGTCAGGTCCTGCTCTTAGGTTCTGGTATCATCACCTTCTCCTATTGTCCCTGCAATCCTAGGGGCATAGAGGCTCCTGCTGTTACTGATCTCTGGGGTGTTGCTTCATTTCCTGTTTAGTTTCTCAGCAAAACTGTCCCCTGGCAATCAATTTCCTATATTAAATTCCTTTTGTTAAAAGGCCTAGAGTGGTTCTGTTTTCTTGACTGGATCCTGACTTGTAGATCAAAATTCTGAAGAGACCTTTTCAAAGACAATAATTGGTAATTCCCTTCTTTGAGGGGAAAGGAGCACCACAGTGAAGATAGTCTGAGGTTAGTGTTCTCAATATCTACGATATCCCAAGTTGTTTGAAGAAACGACATAAAACTTTTTTTTTTAACTTGAATTTTTGGCAATATGCTTCCCCTTAATTGCAAATATGCCACAAAGCAGTCTTGCAAGAAAAGCCTTAGGGGCCTATCATATTATTAAATACAGTGTTCTGGAATTAGGAAACGCTATCCCACAGGAGTGAAAGCTTTGACTATAACAGAAACCTTGCTGAGGCTTCTCAAGCTTTAGACCTACCTCAGGGGCAGCTATGAAATAGTTTAAAGACAATTACTTTTATTCTCTTTCTTATTTACAATTTTCTTCATTGAGGGACTGTTAGCTGAAATTATAGTATATCTTTAGAAAAGTCCTATGTAGCTCTATTTCTCATTTGGAAATAGAGAATGACATGGCCTTCAAAGTCTGGCCCATTCTTACTACCCAATACATGCTTAATAAGCAGCACAGAAACAAGAAAGCCCACTGTGATCAGAGAGAGAATGAGAGCCACATTGTACCACTGATATGCCATATGGCTGCAAATCTAAAGGCTCTGAAAGATGCCGCAGTTGTATAAAGCCCTGAATACCTGCTTTCATTCCCAGTTAGAGTGTTTGAGCTATAATATATGGGCCATCCATTTATTAAAGGAGAGAGCTTACTTTGGCATGGGATAAATTGGTGCTTGTAGTAAGATGCTGTTTAATACAAAGGATGTCTCTTGAATTCCTTTCAGATCTGAGACCCACAGCTCAAGAGTGTTTGGTGTGTGTGTTTTAAAATTGCATGACTATTATACAATTCCTTTTCTTCAGCTGGCATGAGAAGGATATTCCCATCCTCTCTTTGCTCTGTTCTTTACTTCCTCAAAGCTGAGGCGGCAAAAACAGTGCCAGCCTTATCCAGCTTTTCATGGAAAGCCGCCACTCTTAACTGGCGCCTAAATGCAATTTCAGACTGTCCCAGGAGACCTTCATGCTTTGAGGTGAATTCATAACATTAGGGCCAACAAAGAAGTTAACACAAACTTTCACTGTTAAAGAAAAAGAAAAAAAAAAAAAAGGCTGCAGGCTTACTGAAGGAGCTCTGCTTCTGTGAGTGCCTCTGTCCTCTGCTCCCCAGTGACCATGGCCAGTTCATCCTTCAGTTCCTGGATTTCCTTTTGTAGGCGTTTAATCATCTACAAATGGTAAAGAGGCAGAGCAAATGTCAACTTCTCAATAAGGTTAACTTGGTGACAGAGAACATACAGCTCTTACAATTATGAATGATTTTATGGACACAAAAATGGGTAATGGTATAAAAAGCCAGCTTTGTTAAATCTTAACGTTTTGTCAAAATAGTTCTAGACTTTTTTTTTTTTTTTTGAGACAGAGTCTCACTCTGTCACCCAGGCTAGAGTGCAGTGGTACAATCTTGGCTCACTGCAACCTCCGCCTCCCAGTTTCAAGCTATTCTCCTGCCTCAGCCGAGTAGCTGGGACTACAGGTGTGTGCCACCATGCCAGGCTAATTTTTTGTATTTTTTTAGTAGAGACAGGGTTTCACCATGTTAGCCAGGATGGTCTCGATCTCCTGACCTCATGATCTGCCCACCTTGGCCTCCCAAAGTGCTGGGTTTACAGGCATGAGCCACCTTGCCTGGCCTCTATAATTTTTTTAAAACAAATAAAACATTACTGATGTAACTGGAACTCCCTATTGGTATCCCCCTTCCATCCTTCCTGGGGTGATCACTGTACTGCATTTAAGAGATCTGATTTCTCTGTGTGTTTTCATACATTTACTCCATATGTATGCATGTACTCATAAATAATGTATTGTATCATTTTGCATGCCCTAAACTTTATGTAAATGTTACATTACTGCATGTAATTGCAACTTGTTCTTGTCCTTCGCATTGTGTTTTTAAGCTTATTAATATTGCTTCATGTGGCTCTAGTTCATTAATTTTCATGGATATATAGTATTTCAGTAAAGGAATATATCAGAATCTATTTGTCTCCTGTTGATGAACATTTAGGATTTTTACTTTTGCTATTACGAACAGTGTTGCTATGAACATTATGAATCTCTTTGAGCACGTATGCAAGAGTTTCTCTATAGTGTGCACTTTAGAAGTAGGATTTCCTGACTGGAGAGTATATGTATCTTGCCTTTATTATATATTGTTAAATTGCGCTTCAGAGTAGTACAAATTTACATTCCTATCAACTACAGATGTAAGTTCCTGTGCCCACATTTTTGTCAGTGTGTAATATTGACAGGTACTTTCATTTTGCCAATCTGGTAGGTGTAAAATGATATCTCATTTTGGTTCTAATTTGCATTTCTGTGATTATTTGTGAAGTTGATCATTTTGCATATGTATATTGGCAGTTTGGATTCTTCCTTGCTCAAAATTATTTATTCTCATTCTTGTCCGTGTTTCCATTTACTTGTTTTTCCTTTCCTTATTGATTTGCTAGCTTCTTTCTATATTCTAGATGTGAATCCTTTGTTAGTTTTATGCAGTGCACCTGCTTTCTCTCAATCTATGTCATGTTTTTCACTTTGCAGTGTTCTTTTCGTTAAATGAAAGTTCTGAATTTCAATATAATCTAATTAGCACCTTCTTCCTTTATGGGTTGTACTTTTGTGTCATTTGAAAGAAAATCTATCTTATCCCAAATTGTAGGAATATATTCTTATATGATCTTTTAAAAGTGTTAAAGGTTCAATTTTCACATTTAGGTGGATTTTATTTTGTATAAGGTATGAAATAGGGATCAAATTTTAATTTATTTTAAATGGCTAACCATACAAGATTTGCTATTATAATTATATTATATGTTTATACATATAAATATGTCTATTTCTGGGTTATTGGTTAAACACATTTGTTTATTTTACTATATATGGCAATACCATACTGATTTAATTACTAAATCTTAAGAAAGTTGGCATCTAGATAAGCCCCTTTCATCCTGTTCTTATCCAAAATAGACTTGGCTATTCTTGGCCATTTGCTCTTCCACGTAAATTTTAGATCCAACTTGTCAAATTCTACCAAAGGTTCTCCTCAAATTTTAACTGGAATTATTACATTCAATTAAAAGGTTAATTTGGTCAGACATCAAATTAATGATATTAAATTATCCCATCCATAAACATGGTATAGCCTTCCACTGATTCCTTTCAATAAGGATTCATAATTTTCTTTATAAATACCTTACATGTCTTTAATTGTATTTTCTATCAGGAATTTAAAAGTTTTTGTTGATACTGTAAATATAATTTTTGTAAAATTATATATTCTAACTGTTGGCTTCTGGCATATAGGAAGGCAACTCATTTTTATGTATGGATTACGTACCAAATAATTTTCTGAAACTTTGGGCGTTCTATTATCATTAAATAGTCTTGGATGTTCTATGTAAGCAATAAAATTGTCTGCAAGTAATGACAGGTGCTTTTCTTCTTTTCTAATTCTTATACATTTTATTTCTTGTTATTGTCTCATTTTCCTAGCTAGGACTTCCAAGTTCAATTCTGAAGACATTCCTGTCTTATTTCTTCTAACATTTCACCTTTAAAATGATGTTTTCAAAGTATGGTTGAATGTTTAATGTGCTCAAACACTTTTTCTGCAACTAGGGATGAAATAATATAATTTCTGTCTTTAAACTCTGAATGTGATGAATCATATTAATTCATGTGATTAGTATTTTAGTATAAACAATCTCAGGCATATAAAGCAATATAAAATAATACCTTGTACCCACTACTTAGCTTAAGTGAACATCCATGTACCCTGTACTTAAGAAATAGAACATTACAGACCTGTCTGAAGACCTCACCCCTATATAGTCTTCCCCAAATGAATTCCCCATTACCATTATCTTAAATTTGCTTTTAACTTTTCTCATTTTTTCTTACACTATACATTGATATATTTTCTAGTGACAGATTACCTTGAATTCCCAAAATAAACCCAACTAGTTCGTGATACTGTGTCATATTAATAATCTTCCTATCATAATGTAAAATTCCTAAAACAAAAATTAGCAGGCTTGATCCAGCTTTTATCCTTTCTGGAATATTTGGTATTACTCAAAACTTGAAAGAAAAACACCATAGGATCTGGTCTGTCCTTCCTTCCTTTCTCTCTCTTAGTAGCTTTACTTTTTTTTTTTTTTTAACACAGAGTTTTGCTCTTGTCTTGTCACCCAGGTTGGAGTACAATGGCACCATCTCAGCTCACTGCAACCTCCGCATCCCAGGTTCAAGCGATTTTCCTGCCTCAGCCTCCTGAGTAGCTGGAATTACTAGCGCCCACCACCACACCCAGCTAATTTCTGTATTTTTAGTAGAGACAAGGTGTCACCATGTTGGCCATGCACCTGACCTCAGATGATCCACCCACTTGGCCTTCCAAAGGGCTGGGATTACAGGCATGAGCCACTGCACCCGGCCCGCTTTACTCATTTTCTAACTTCTTTTGCTTGGGGATTGTCAGACTACAGGGGTTATGTAAATTTGAACTTCAAACCTACGTGAGGCAGAGCTAGGGTTTCACATTTTTCAGAGTAGTTTTCAGAGAAACTACTTTTTGTTCTACCTATAGACCAGTCTAAAGTTGACAAGCTTACCTGACATCTCCATATGCTAGTGGATAGATTGTTTTAGTTTTGTTTTGTTTTGTTTTTCTAATTCTCCCTTTCACTGGTTTTGTGTTGGGGAAAAGAGAGGATGTCAGGTTCAGCACCCATCTTGCAACATCCCAGGGCTTTGATCTCTATTCCTTTGCTACAACCTCCTTTACATCTCCACTCCAGGACAACTGCAGCCTCAGCTTAGTTTCTGGGCTCTGGAAAATTCCCTTACTTCCTTTCAACCTTACATATGTATTTCAAAGATGCTTGGGTATATAGGTGAGTTTCAGATTATTTGGACCATATCAACAGGACCAGAAGTCCCAAAGAACATGATATTGAGTATTTTGAACATGTCGTGCTCCTAGAATTTTACTGAAATGTACAGGCTCATGTGGGTTTTGTTTGCTTCTTTTTAAAAATTATTCTTAGGATCATCAATCTACACAGAATGAAAATCCTTAGACAGTAACTACATTGGCACCCTTCTCTATTAAACTAATATTGATGTCATATTTTCTATTTTTACTAAGGCATTTAAGTCAAATCTAATAACAAATTATTCTCCTGTCTTATTGAATAAAAATCTCAAAACTAAGCCAAGTGTTTTTGGTTTTGAGATTACTACAGTTATGCCTCCCATCCAATTACTGAAGGAACCCTGGCATTAGAGACATCCTTAGGAGATTTGAGCTCATGCCCAGTCACCACAGGCTCTGGCCTTGCTCATAGTTCTTTTACCACCTTGTCTCTCTGAGGTACCAATACTTTTTTTGCTTTGTTTGGTTTGGTTTGGTTATTTTTGAGATGGAATTTCGCTCTTATTGCCCAGGCTGGAGCACAATGGCACAATCTTGGCTCACTGTAACCTCTACCTCCTGGGTTCAAGCAATTCTCCTGCCTCAGCCTTCCGAGTAGCTGGGATTACAGGCATGCACCACCACACCAGGCTAATTTTTTGTATTTTTAGTAGAGACGGGGTTTCTCCATGTTGATCCAGCTGGTTTCAAACTCCTGACCTCAGGTGATCCACCTGCTTCAGCCTCCCAAAGTGCTGGGATTACAGGTGTGAGCCACTGCGCCCGGCCTGAGGTACCAATACTTTTAAAGAAAGCAGGACAAATCCTTATCGGCTGGCTTCATATTTGCCATTAAATTTTGAAAGTAAGATATAGGAAATGCCACCCAAGTTTGGTCTTGAGTGGTTTGTAGGACAAATTCTCAACTGTCACTTGTGCCTCAGACAAGCTCTGTACATAAAATGACTGACAGTAATGTCAGTTTTTAGAAGCAATTATAAAAGAGACCAGGAAACAGCACTTGTCAATTACCAGATTAGTCTGCACCAGGAAGACCTCAACATTTGTTCAATCAATTATCAGCTATTAGCTTTTGATTCCTCATTTCTCTTTTCTTCAAATCTCTCACAGACCTATATCAAACACATAATAACGTTTACCTTTTTTTCAAATTCTTCACATTCCTTCAAAGAAAAGCCTCCAGCCAAATGCAAAAAAAACAAAAAAAACAAAAACAAAAAACAAACCAATAAAACCCTCCAATGTCTAATATGTTTATTTTCCGTAAATTCTGAACTAGTTTTTGCCTTGGGCTAGTCACTTTGTTAACTCTCTTTCTCATTCGGCATTGTAATGCTATAGGACTACTGGAAGGGTAGAAGGGTAGGGACAGCAACAAAATCCACCTAGGAGTTCAGTTCCGCCTGAATCATGCCTTTGCATTCTGTCTCCTTTCCCCAGCAGGAACACTGTGTGATGCTGATACCTGACCAGGGCCTATGCTGAAATCGATGCTGCCTCACTCATTGGTTTCTCCAGAAGAGAACTCCATCAGAGGA